AACTTTTCCCTGATTTTCCCTTTCTTTTGCTGAAAAGATATGTGAAACTTTGCAATTAAGTACATTTTAGTTTTTCCTTCCAGCTCTTGTGGTTCCTATTTTGTGTGAATATTAAACTCATTCCATGTAAATGTTGCAGGCCACAGAATGCAAGCTCTAATCAAATGCCTCAGATTCTGGATGGGCCCTGAAGCAGGCAGGGCCAACTTCACTTTTGGCATACAAGTAACTAGAAATAGAGCATTTTCCCATCCCAACTCCCCAGGGCTCTTCAGTTGCTCTTTGAAATGCAATGCATAGTTATCCAAAAGTTAGCTGGAGGCACCCAGTGGGACTATCAGGTTTCCATCTTGGGCCTTGTCCCCTGCAGCTCTCTAGAATTTGTTTTTATTCTCTCCTCTGGAAGACATGGCTGTGGACTACTGTCAACCCTTCACCACATGGAAAGGAACAGCCCTCTGCCTCAGACACATGTATGAGATATGGGGGGCAGGGAGAGGGGATTCCTTGGCTCTGCTTAAGTCAGATGTTCCCTCCTTGTGGGTCCTCACTGCCCTGCCACCCACTGTGGCCTGGGCAATTATTCTGTAATTAGTGTTCCTCCCTAGGACTGATTGGAGTGGAATTGCAGTCCCCCACTGAAAGAGGTGGGTTTTACCCAGAGGAAAAAAGATTAAATAAATATATTTCTACTCTTATATGGGCCGTGGCTTTCTCAGTTTGTGTAAAGATTGAAAGAGCACAGCAATGAAGAGTTAGATATTACTTCTTCATGCCAAGCACATCTTTTTCAACCTTTCCCCTTCAATTTAAAAATTACTGTTATTTCCTAAAGTGTCCCCTTAGTCCAGGGTTTTATACCTATTGTTGTTCACAGTGGGAAAATTATATGTATATTCTATATCTAAAGATTTATAAATACACAACCTTTTGATACTGACTTTCATTGGTAAAGATACTAAATATTTCTACAGAGTATAACTGCTATTGACTCATTTAAATTAGAAATGGTTATATCAAGCAATGTATAAGCAAATACAGAATGCCTGTTGCATAGATGTATTATTTTACTCTTTGATTTTTCATTTCTGTTACTTGTTTAAGATCTCTCCTTACTCAGTCTTCCCTATCCTCTCTACTCTTACTGCAGCAAGTACAATAATATAAAAGAGCAAAGAATTTGCTTAATTTAGATTTAACTTTTTGGTAAATATTGGAATTTTAATTACACAATTTAATCTCTCAAAAGTGGAATTCTACATAATTTTTAGGAATATAAAAAGACAACTTGGGCTGGGGATGAGGCTCAAGCAGTAGCACGCTCATCTGGCATGCATGTGGCCTGAGTTGGATCCTCAGCACCACGTACAAATAAAGATGTTGTGTCCACCAAAAACTAAAAAATAAATATTAAAATTCTCTCTCTCTCTCTCTTTCTCTTTAAAAAAAGAGAACTTACACTTCCAACCCAATTTGCAGTATTTTTTTTTCCTTTATCCCCTAATAAGTTTTGATTGCACTATCATAAACATTTTTCTACACAGCACTACAAACACATTGCCATTATAGGCAACATGATCAGACTGGGGTGCATGAGCTTTAATTCAACACTTGATTAAGCCTACTCTACAAATGCCAAAGATGACCCATGGGGTTCCCTACACGCTGTGCACCATCAGTTAAGTCCTTTAATGTTTCTGGGTCACAGTTTTTTATCTATTACATAATATAATAAAACATATAGATGTGCTTCACAAACCATAAAGTAATATACAAAAATAGTAAAAATAAAGTTAATTTTCCACCAGTGAAGAACCAATATATATATTCTAGATTCATTTTTGTATATGTTTATAAATACTGATACAGATACATAAATATGCATAAATATGTATACATTGTTATTCATACATACACATATAACTCTGTGTGTGTGTGTGTGTGTGTGTGCGCGCATGCACGAACTTGTGTGGATTTATTACATGGAATTCTTGGCTCCACAGCCAAGTGAACAAGCCAGCAGGAATCCATCAAGAATGGACTAGAACCCCATAAGGATAGACAAAGGCATGTGTCAATTCAACAAGGATATTCTGCAGAATCTGGAGCAGCTTCAACATGGAGCTGAATACATACTTGGCTCTGGAGTCAGGGAAACTGATGGATGATCAGCAGGAAGGAAGAACATCTGTAGGTCTGGCTGTTGCTTTATTCCAAAGAGGTGAATGTAGAACTGTTTTTCCCCCCTGTGCTTCCTGGAGTCTTGCCTTCTCCAGACTGGCCTCGACCCTCTTTAAGTGACTTCCACCTGATTAAGTTAGGACTTTCCTGGTTACTCTCCATTTTACTTGACTCAAAAATCAATGGCTGGGGACTACAAGTTCATCTTGAAAGCTCTTTCAGAACAACACCTGGACTAACATTTGAAGACGTAGAAGAAGGTCTGTGTGCCTACTAAGTGCTGTTGCTACATTCCTGACCTCCAACTTTTAGAATCTTCTTTGAGGCCCACTCTTGCCAGAAGCTCAGTTAAGAAAGTGTGAGTCAAGAGAGAGAGACTCAAGCCTCACCAAGATGACACATCACAGAACCATCCAAGGTATGGGTGTTGATAAAAATAATTTCTGTCCTAGAAAATAAAATAAGCAACCTACTCTGCAAATGCAGAAATGACGCAGGGATTCACTCTCTGTTCTTGCTCTCTGTTCCCCGATGTCCCTACATGGTTAACTGTCCCCAGTAGATGTGGAGCACACTGAGGGAGACTTGCCTTCCCCTCCCTGACTTCTGTTGATCCTGATCTAAGTATTCTAAGACATGTAGTCATTTAGTTATGACCTGCTTATGAACATGAAACAACATTGCCTTATGACCACATTTTTGCTTTAGTTTTGGACAAAAGATGTTTTTCTTTCTCCTTTGGGAGTCATCCTACAGGGGAATGATATTAGCCAAACTACATTGTTATATTGTGTGCATGTATGAATATGTAACAACAAATCCCACTATTATGTACAACTACAATGCATCAATTTTAAAAAGTGGAAAAAAAAGTCATACTGGGCCTTCCTACTTTCTTACAGTGTCTTTACGCCCTTAGGCTTTGGCTTTGAAGAACAAATTAAATGTATATTTTTAAATATATTCTCTCCTTCACCGTTTCTTCACTGAATTATAGAGAGCACACAGGTTAAAGTACAGTAGAGAAGGGCTAGTTAAGAAATTCTGTTTTTAGTGTAGTCACAAATATATTCCCTAAATAGACCTTAGGTTATTTTTTGTCAATTCATAGTGGTTATTAGAACTTAGACACTATAGCTGACTAAAACGAAGTTTAATTTATCATCCATAATCTCTCTAACATTGAGAGTCATTCTCAAAGACACAGCTTCCCCCTCCCCAGTGGTTTCCAGCTCTGAGCCTGTAGAGACAGAGACTGCATTCAATATCCCCAGCATCAGCAGAATCTCCTGGCAGCTCTACCATGATCTTGCTACTACTTCTGTAAGTTCTTGTTTTGTCCATAGTGAGACAGTCTCTGCCACACCATCCTGTTCTGATACCCTGGATCTCCATCCTGCTGTGCCAATTTTCTCCTTGATCCTCTGCTTCTATCCTAACGTCCACAAAGCTAGAAGTTTGACTCGCCTCTCGTGCCAGGCTTCTGACAGTTGTCTACTGCCTTTGAATACAAGTTCCTGTGAGTCAGTGCCCACTAATTCTGGATGGATCACCTCAAAGTTTTCATATATCTGCTTAATAACTTCTTTCAATGTTAGTCAAAAACCAGCCCTTGTCCTCTGCCTCTTGCCATGTCTTGTTCTACTCACCTCCTGATACACTTCCTGCCTGCTTGTGAGTTATTCTCACGATGACTATCTCAAATGCCTCTTAATATCTTAGGAGGCTACCCTAAGGGTTTGTTTGGGTTCTCAGTTCTACGCCTTACCAGGCAGGACCATTTTATCACTGATCAAACAACTGTGTTTAATGATTACAAGCATGTGGGGTTTTTTATCCCACAGGTGTGTAAAAGTCGTGCAAAAGCTAAAGTACATTAAGAATAAGTTTCACAAAATCTTAATGTTTCTAAATTGAAAAAATAATTATCTAAGGTCTCATAAAGGCCTTAATGAAGAAATCAAAGATTTAATTAAGATACAGTGCATAGTCAATATAGAAATTCTTTGTTCTTTCCCTGTCTCCCCATATCTCATATTTTTATATATTTATTTTGTATATAGGGTATTACTAAATTGTCCAGGATGGGGTAGAAGTCAGGATTTTCCTGCCTTAATTGTACTAAGCATTAGGAACACAAGATGATTTTATATATTTCTTACATACATACAAAAACATTTGTTATTGGCCCTTTAAGTTTTCACATCCTAGAGAATAAGACAAAGACAAAACAAATAATTACAGCTCATGGGTGAGAGTCCATAGAAATGAAAGTGCTTGAATTTATCTAGAAATGGGGGAGAGTGCTTTAAAAGAAAATGAACTTGAGTTGACTCTTGAGGAATGATCAGAATGAATTCAGCAGACAGATAAAGGTGAGAAAAAGATTTTCCAGGAAAGTTGGATAGAGAAGTAGAGACATGAAGAAGAATGCAGTACATTTTGAAAACTGCAGAGAGCTCCATATCTCTGGCACCTGTGATTGGTTCAGGAGCAGTTTTCAGCAATGATCCTAAAAAGATTGAGAAATCTGAACTCATGAAGTTTCTTCATAGTCCTTCTATGAAACCAGGACTTCAGATCATGGTGAGTTAGTAGAGGATTCTAAAGTAGCAAAATGGCATGATGTTTGTTTTAGATTGAAGAGGGCTACATAGAAGAGGGGATGAGGCATAGCTAGAAACTTTCTGGAAAATTTCAAACAAAACGTTTTGAAAATCTAAAAAAAAAAAAAAATGGTGATCCCAAAGTAAAGTATAACATAATACATGGAAATGAACAGCCCATAACCCCTTCCGAAGGCCTCGATATGTCCATACCATGTGGGACTACTCAGAAGCCGTGTTAGATCCAAGGTCCTTGTAAGTTGGCTGAAGGTACTGGGCCTGCATCACAGCTTGACTCTCTGTTCTATTAATCCTGCTTCCTTCATCACCCTTCCATAGATGTTGAGTTTAGGTGGAATCTTCATCCTAGAGAACCCAGCCTATAATAGAGGAATCAAGAGGAACAGAAGCAAATTAGATGTGAAACTGAAGGAGATGAAGGGATCTCAGAAGACTCCAAGATTCAGATTGGTCTTTGGAGGAATATGATGCAACAAACCTAAGTGGGTCACATCTGAAGGACATGTTTGGAGGAGAAAAGAACTGTTTTCTTCAAAGTTCCCCTATATCATTTTCACAAGAATACAGGATACATTTGGCTACAGAAACATGAATAAGCGTAGGGCTAGAAAGAAAACTTTGATGTCTACAGACTAAAACTAGTAGTCACAGGTTTAAGTGAGTATAAGAAGAAGAATATGTAGAATAATATAAGACAATTAGGAAAGTCAGACTTCTAGAAAGGTAGAGAATCTTACCCATTTCCGCTAACAGATACAAACTCCAAGTACCATGTAATGGTGGCTGTTCAACTTCCTCTTGGTAATATTCTTTCCTTATTTGATCTAGCCCTGTTTGATGGAATGTAACATCATTAAAAGAAGTACCTGTTTTGTCCATCTTTCTAGTTCTGAACATCCTGAAAGAAGGAAGTCCTCAATATTGAATAGGATATGGTAACAACAAAATATATCAAGTCAGTGTGTGACATCCAACCATGCGTTGGAGTCTTCAGCTCTCTCCAGGCTGAAGATGGTAACTCTGAAGCCTTCCAAGCCTGAGAAACACCCATTCTGCTATGTAATCTGTTTTAGATTTTTTTTTTAATATCAAAAAATCAGGTAATGGTAGAATTTTATATCAGATTTTTGCTCAATGTCCAATCACTGCCTGTATTCTGTGCTGGCTCTTTACAAAGTCCTCTTTTCATTTTGGACGTGTCTTCCAATTCAGCCATCAGCATACAGTAGTCCCAAGTGACTCTCTCAACAACTGTTAAGGATCCTCACAGCCAGAAGAACCTCTCAGAGGATCAGAAGCACAGTCTAATACCGGCTTACAGATTCCTTATTACATCCTTACACATGAATAAAACAAGCTAGACCTATTATGCAGCTATTTTCTCTCCATTGGTAACTGAGAATTGTTCTTTAAAAAAATACATCAAGCAAACCCAATACCCCACCTTATGTATAACATTCTCTCAGCAGCTGAATTGTCAAGTCATAGCAACTGTGCCATACTCCTGCCCAAAACACCCTTACAATTCCAGGACTCCACAGTGGGCAAAATTAGAATGTAGTCACTCCACAGCATCCCTGACAAGTACTGTGCCAGAGCAATTCAACGTCTAGACTAGTTGTTTCCGTCAGGAGATTAACTGGCTTATCTGAACCCCAAGGGCAACCTTTGGCTCACATCCAGGAAGTCAGCAGTTTTCAGGTTACCCCTGACAGATCAAGCCATCACTTGCCCAGCATCATACACAGAATTACAGAACAGGACTTTTTTCCATGCCATTTTAGGTTTTAGCTACTGATTTTTCTAAGGTTTAATATATCATCTGAAAAAGCACTTTTTCCAACTAAATATTGGTTGAACTTTTTCAGAACAAATGGTGTGCTCTTTGGTGATATCATAACAATACTTTACCTGTAAAGAAAATTTTCATGTATGTATAGATTTATAAAATGTCTTCTGGACACAACCTTAGGAGCAGTGTTTTGCAAAAAAATAATAATTATTATTATTATTCAATTTTTAAAAACTGAAATATGCTCCTATTCTTTCATTATTTATCACATTACTCTTCATGGTCATCTTCTTTTCTTAAATGGGCCACAATGATTTCAGTGCCCCTCACAAAATTTCACACAGTTGAGCCGCTTTGGCTCAGGATACCTAATATTTCTATTTGCTCAGAAATTCTTCTTTAACCATTTTGAAAAGTTTTGTGGAGCCAGCAGAGTTTTCACTCTGCCACTGTGTGATGGTTAGCTATATGCATGGCAATATTAATATATATTCTCAAAAAGAAGCTTACTTATAACATTAGAATAAGATAATTACAACTTAAAAATTTAAAAGTACTATTAGAGTATGTGGAATAACTGAGTTACACTTTTTTATTTTTAATTTCCGACAATATTTTTAAGACCCAAAATTGGTGTGCATTTGAATTTTGTGCCATGGTAAAATGCTGTATAAAGCACAGTGATGGGTAATAGCACATTCTCTGTAGGGGAGACAGCACTTACTATGTCAGGAAATCTCTCTCTGAATGTCTGTGTGCCAGGCACTATTCTAGGTTCTGGACACCATCAACACAGACATGCAAGAGTTCACAAATAAATTATTTTGAGTAATAAATGAGTGCCTACCATGTATGATGATTTTTCTCCATAATAGATGTACAATGTGTGCATTATAAATGGGTATTTTACATTTACACACAACGCTACTTAAACACAAAAAAACTTTTGTCTGGCATTTGAAAGAATGTGATTAACAAAAACCTCTTAACTAAGTTATGTTTAACAATAACTTTGGCAGAAGATTATTTGTCAAATCTACTTTCCTGTGTACAAGTGGACTATAATAGCTTCAGTCTCTTAGCACACCTCAGACAGAATATAGAATATTTATGTATTAACAATAAAATCAGTCTAGAGACCAAAAAAATCTGTAAAGCATGTAAAATTTATTTCAAAATCTTGAAAAAATAATATTTGCATATAAATCAAGACTTGTTTGGAACTTTAGGGATAATCTGAAATGTAGCTTTTAATCAGACCCAAGAAATGTGACATATAGTAACAGCATTGAGCCTTTGCAGTTTTGAAGACCCATATATGCAATGAAATGAGCATAGTGTTAGAGTTTAAATTCTGACTCAGTAGAACGTATGCAAACACTAACAATCCCCACCCCTGAGACTTGAGATTCCCTCTTCTCTTTTCATAGAAGGTGGTAGGGATGGTAAGGATGTAGTAGATGAGCTTTCAGCTCTCACTCTCTAGTTCTAAGCATTCTACTACCTGAGGGAGTGAGAACAGAACCCAGCCTAGAGTAGAGTTCAAGTGAGTATCTTAGAAAATATGAATACCTGAAGACTAGAATAGATGTTGTGCTGCCAGTGTTATAGGTGTTGAAATATCAAAAACCTCAGATAAAAAGAAAAACTGTTTTTTATTTTCATTGTGCCAAACATCTGCATGTTTGAAAATTTCAAGTGATACTTCATAAATAGGCATTTAACCTGGGTGTTTATGTTCTATAAACCAGGTTATTAAATCAAAAGATCAATGTTGAATAAAGCTACTATTCTGATGATGATTAATTATAGTCAATGTGTTTTGACCCCTCACCTTTTGCCAGGTACTGCACTAAGAGCTTACTTAAATTATTTTGTTCAATGCCCCTAACAAACACTAGTTCATTAATGCTATCCATGTGGTAGGTATTATTTTCATCCTCATTCTATAGGAAAAAAAAAAAAACCTCATCCAGAATCATTCAATATCACATGTGAAATTTTGTTCCAAGTCTGTCCAGTTCCAAAATGCAGGCTCTTAACCATGACATTCAATATCATTGATATTCAATATTACTAAATTCAAAAAAATTTTAAGTTATATACAATGGCTCTTTTTAAGACAGAATGAAACCTGTAATACATTTATCAAATTACAATGCTACTTTATGGGACTTTCATTGGGACTAGCTAACGGGTTTTATGGACTCAAAAATTGGAAACTGACTACAGCAATTAGTTGTTCAGAATAAAAGCCAGGCTTGAAAGTCCTTCTTTGCATTGAATTTCAAATGTTCCACTTTGAATGAAACAGATGTTGAACTTTAGATTAGTTCAATCTGCATTAGATTTATCCTGTGCACACAGTAAGATAGCACTACCATGGGCACTTACGCTACTTTCTCTTTAGGGACACCTTTCCCCAGACCAGCTTCATCTGCAATTTAAAAGAGGTCTTTTCAAAGAAATAGAGGATTTTAGTTAAAGGCACAAGAATTAGTTCAGTGGTTTTGAGCCATGGTCCATCCAATATTCTGTCTATTCTAGGAGCATAAAGGAGCATGTCATGTGAAACTCAAAAGATTAGGGATATACTCAAGACTTCTTGATATTTTCCTGTCATCTGTGAATTTAGATTAACCTTTCTTAAAGTCTATGTTTTAGGTTTTCATGATACAGAGTTCCACTTATATGCTGCTCTTTGAGTAAACTAACACAACGAACACCTTGGATTTGTGAATTCCAGATCTGTTATTGCAAATATCTATGGTGTCTCTGATATGAATTCAGTGTTTTCTTTTTTCACCTCAAACTTTGTCAAACCCACGCAGATTCCTTGTAAATTCAGTTATTTACTAAACTCTCATTCTCTGTTAGAAGGATGTGAACAAGTGTTACATGTTAAGGAAATATTAACACGAACCTCAGTCTTTCTCTTGACATAATCAGGACTGAGTAATAACTAAAAAGTAAAAAGAAAAAAAAAGATTAGCTTTGAAAGTCAGCAACTACAGAAAACATTTTTCTTAGAATATAGTACCCCTTCAAATGATTAAATTCAGGGCAGAGAATGGCAATTGGGACTTCGGACTTGAATATCTGCACAGTCCCACAAAAATCATTTTTATTGTTCAAGTACCTGACATCATCAGGGTTAATTGGAAAATTTGACTTATAATTTTGTTCCATAAGTATAAAACAGAGACATATATATCAAAATGAAAAATGAGAAGAAATTACTACACACACACATACAAAAGAAAAAAAAATCTTGGGCATCTTCTCAAAATATTTCAGTGAAACTACATCCAGGGGAGAAGTTGTGATGGTCTTCCTTTTTCAATATTTGTGTGTGTGTGTGTGTGTGTGTGTGTGTGTGTGTGTGGTGCTGGGGATTGAATCCAGGGCCTTGTGAATGTGAGGCAAGCACTCTACCAATTGGGCTATATCCCCAGCCCTGTCAATATCTTTTCTGATGTCATGAGATTCAGCTATATCTTCTTTCAGTCTTTGCCTCTCTAGTCTGAGATAACACTGTTTTAGTATCACCTCATTTCTTTGTTATTTTCATTATAAAAAATAATCTAAAAAGCTGGTGGTTTTTAGGTTTCTACCTTGAATGTATTATTTTAAGCAGGTCTTAATTAGTATTGGACATATTAAGAAGTTTAGCTTGAATTGATTTCGTTTTCTCAGCCTACAAATCAATGAAACCTATTGCAGTGTTCTCTCAAAAAGAGCCCACCTCTCAGTTCTTTAAATTCCCTCCAGGACCTTCTTCTTTAACATTCTATCTCACTTCTATGCTTACCTTAAAACCCTCTGGGACTTGATGTCGAAAATATCAATGACAGTCATGGGGCCTCTAAAGTCTCCAATACTGCTTGATCATGTTAAAGTGCAGAATGAGTTTTCTCTTGTCAGTTATACATGACTTGTCTGAGGGTCATTTTTGGACGGGTTGTCTCAACAATTCAGATGCCTCCCTCCCCTCAGGTACTTAAATAGGGGATTAATAAGGTAGTTTGAATTAGTGCAAAGATCAGTACCCTTGGAAGTCATCCTAGTTCTCCACCAGTCATTTTAACCCAAGAAGCAGAGAACTGGGAATGATTTTGAATTTTTCTAGAAACCCATTGGAATTTCTTTGGTGTCTTTCGCAGGCTGTTAGGGAATGAGAAGGAGGGAGGGGTGGTTGAGTGGGCTGAGTTGTGGGCACTGCACTTCCTCAGCAGTCAGAACACCTTGCAATCAATTGCCTTACATATTCTTTTTTTCCCCTTCCAAGACTACTTAAAATAAGACTTTATAGGAGGAACAGGAAAGGCAAAGGAGAGGAGAACAGGGAAGAGGAAGGAGGGGAGAGAGAAAGAAAGAAAGAAGAGAGGAAAGAAGAGAGGAAGGAAGGAAAAGATTAGATAACATCTAACTGCACTGGAGTACATAAACCTCAATCTTCATAGACTTGATAAAAACAGTAGTACCTAAAACTCTTATTCCACATAAATTATGTATGTTTCATAAAACTGATATTCATTTTCCATGTAATTCACATAAAATATATAATTCATCCTAATGCTTCTATCCTTTTTGTGTGATTTGCTGTGCATCAGACACTTTGTTAAGGACTCTATTCACATATCCCTTTTCATTTATTCCTCACGGTATCCTCAGAGGTATCAGGACCCCCTCCTTATGAGTGCGCAAACTATGGCTTAGAGTGGCTACGAAATCTGCTTAAGGTTAAAACCTGGTATCTTACACTGCTTAGAGGCTATAACAAATTACCACAGACTGAATGGCTAATGAACAACAGAAATTTATTTTTCACTGTTCTGGAGGCTGGAAAGTCCCAGATCCAGGCACTGGCAAGTCTAGGTTTCAGATGAGTGTTGGCTTTCTGGTTCATAGATGGTGTCTTCTCATTGCATTCTCACATAATGAAAGGGACAAGGCAACTCTCCGGGGCCTCTTCTATGAGGGCCCTTATTCCATTCATGAAGGCTTCACATATTAAGCTCTTAAATGTTGATGTCATTAAAATATTTCTCTGAGCAGAATTCATTCACATGGGCAAATCAATACAGCTTAAGTAAATACAGTCCCAATGTTCATATTAGAAAAGCATAAAAATTTTATTTCAGGAACTATGCTAGTAAAATAAATAAGAGAATAAGAGCTGGCTCTACAACTAAAATTTCATTTTGTAGAAACTTAGTGTATCATAACAAGCCAGGATCCTTGACGTATACATTGGGTCCTAGTCTAACTTGGCTGCTATAACAAAATGTTATGGTCTGAATGGCTTTTTAAAAACAGAAATATATTTCTACTCATTCTGGAGAGTGAAAGCCCAGGATTAAAGCACTGGCAGATTCGGAATCTGGTGAGTGCATGCTTCCTCATGGCTGTCTTCTCACTGTAACCTCCATGGTGAAAGGAGTCAGGGGTCTCTCGGGGTGTCTTTTATGAGGACACAAATCCTACTTTTGAGGGCTCTGCCCTTATAACTTAATCCCCCCAAAAGCTTCCTTCCACCTACTAATACCATCACCTTAGCCATTAGGATTTCAACATATGAATGGGGGGGAGCACAAACATTTAGTTTATTGAAATGGCTAGACATAGATGAACTTGCAAAGGAACAAATTCAGTGGTGTGACTTGTGCAGGTGAAATTACAGTTGCTTTCTCCCCCTGCCCTTTAAATCACTGTTTCAGGATATATTGAGGGATTAAAAGAAGCAGTTAACCACAGTTCTACAAGTGTTCCCTATGCATAGTTTAGAGAGCTATAATCGAGTAAAAGATAAAGGCTATAAAGTTGCCTAGTAAAACCCATTCTGTACACATAATTTTGGCATCGATGTGTATTGCATGTGCAATTACTCATGGATATAGAGTAAACACTTGTAATTTCACCAACAATTGAGCAATTGTGGGTCAATCTCATGTGCTTCAAAATGATTACTATGATTTCAAGTGACCAATTGGAATGAGAGCTAATTGACTGCTACTTATTTAATCTTCGTATCTCACTCCTCTCTAACCTTTCCATTCTCATAAATGTTGCTGTCCCTTATCAATTCCAAAAATATTCCCAGACTATTTCTAAGAATGTAGGATGATTTTCCCATCTATATCCACCTCCTTTTCTGCACTACACATTTCACAAACTTCCTCAGATATACCTTTTTCCCATAAAAATTTTGTTATTTTAAAAATACATTTCTTTTTTTGCCAGGCCAATTGCACAATATAATCCATAATAGAATTATAAATATAGCTTCTGAATGAATGTATTTGTCTATTTATAATATAATTTTCATGTCAACTTTTCATATTATTAACTGCCTGATGTGGCAGACTAGTTGACTGTTCTTCATACACATCTCCTTTTCTTTCTGGGCATACAGTTGGATTTCATTCTTAATGCTGCCTTAAAGTTATATATAGTCATATAATGGCATTCTGGCTGGTGGAATGTGACTAGAAGTGATGTGCCCTTCCAGATAAGGCCCATAGAAACTTTTCATGTACCATTTTCCATATTCTTTCTTTCTGATAGATTTGTACAGATGAATATGATATCCTAGGAGGTCAAGCATTGAAAATGGTGTAGTCCACAAGCTAAAAAGAGTCCAGTACCCTGAATCACTTAGCCCATCAATATGAAAACCTACTTTTGACTTACATGAGTGCCTACAGTGTATAATCCATAGTAATTCATTATGCAATATATACCTTGTATGCACTATAGATTAAGTGTCTTTCAGTATGGTAAAAAGACATATTTTGCTACTGAATAAATGTTTGTGAAAATAGCCATTTTAATAGAAGATAGCAAATAGTATTTGCTGAGGATCTACTGGCAGTCACTAACAGTGGTATGCTAGGCATCTCACGTACATGAGCATGTTAAATTCCCTCTATTAACCTCTTAGCTGGAATAAACTAGGGTGCCCGCCAGTATGAGAGAACCAGAGCTATGGAAAGTTACCCATAGTCAGAGAGCTACCAAGTGGCAGAGCTGATATTGACACCATGTCTTTCTCCACCAGCCTGTATTCTTCCCATTACACCATAGTAATTCCTTTTCCCTTAGCTTCTTAAGGCCACAAACTATGTCAACTCCTTAAATTGGAAAGGTATTCCCTAAAACACATTACGTGAGGCACATCCAAGAAGAAAAAAATGAGGAAAATAAGTAAAATATCTTAAATATAGTTTTGCATCTGTGCTTGATTTTTCCATTGGGCTGTTATCTTAAGTTACCATAGACTGAGTAGATTAAAGGACAAATGTTTTTCTCGCATTTCTAGAGACTGGAAATTCCAAGATCAATTACCTGCAGACTGGCATCTGGTCAAATCCCAGTTAGGTTTGCAGATGATCTTCTTCTTGTTGTACCCTCACATGGCAAGGAGTAGAAAGAGAGGGTCAGCTTTCATGCCTGTTATAAGAACAGTGACCCCACTCACGAAGATTCTATTTTCATGACCTAATTACCCCACAAAGGTCTTACCTCCAAATATCATCACATTGAGGGTTAGGCTTTTAACATATGAATTTTGGTGGTACACAAATATTCAGTCCATAATATTCCTCCTTGCCCGCCCCCCCCCAAATTCGTGTCCATCTCACATGCAAAATACATTTTTTTTCCAAAGGTCTTCATTCATTTCAACATCAATTCTAAAGACCAAACCCAAAGTCTCATTTAAATATAATCTAAATCAGATGTGGTTGAGACTAGAAGTAAAATATACCCCGAGGGAAATGTCTCCTCTAGACATTAAGTTGTAAAACCAAACAAGTTTTGTGCTTCAAAAATATGGTGACAGGATAGGCATAAGATAGACAAGTGGCATAATAATTTGAGGAAAACCACCACAACAAATTCCATCTTGGAGTCTTCAGATTTAGTAATTCATTGGTAGGAGTTCATTATAAAAATTAATGACAACCCAAAAAATATATAACACACAATCCTAGAAAAAAATAAAAAATGAATTAGAACATTGTTTGTTCACTATATTTACAATGATGTTGTTAAAAATAAGAAAAAAGTAACTGCTAAAGTAATACTTGTATTTTTACAACCTATAGATACATTGCAAAATCTATCTTGGTCTCTACAAGGAACCAACAAGTTTCTCTTGAAAGCATATAACACATTTTCTACTGGGTGGGAAAAATCTACTCAGAGAATGATTTAATGTTTGTTATAGCTTGGTACAATGAATAGTCAAACAAGCATCTATAATTATCTGAAATAATCATTTATAATCAGATACTAATGGGGGAAAAATCTAAGTCTTTCCATCTTTCTCTATTATAAACTTATGCATCAAGAATACATATACACCTATTTCACTCCCATGAGCTCTTTGTGGCTCAGGGAAAAAAATACTACAATTGCAACCTCTTTTTCAAAGGATTCATTTTCAAAGAAGAGCTCTCCTTTACCTGCTTGCTCTTTTTTCCCCCGATTCTCACTAAGAACAGAAATAATCTTAGAAAAAGTCCCCTAATTTTCTACTGGACTCTTGTATGTCTATTTGACATCTCTTACTCATGGTAAACATTCTTTTTGAAAAAAAAATCTTATTTTTTCTTTTTGTTATATATAACAGTAGAATCTATTTTGATATATTTATTCAAGTATGGAATATATCTTATTCTAATTAGGATCCCAGTCTTGTGGATGTACACAATGTTCAGATTCACTGGGGTGTATTCATATATATGCAAATATTCTTTATGTGGTGTAATTGAAAGTTTTGCAGCTCTTATCCTGAAAATTGTGCAAGACTGAAATATCTTAATTGGTAACAATAAGTAGAAGTTTACTGAAATAGTTGGCCATTCTAGTTTACCCTGCAGAAAACATCTATACCCCAGTATTTCTAGATCAAATGTCACCTATTTGTTCAGAATGTCATTCTATGTTTTGCAAGAAAACCGATATAAATCTTGAGGACTTCCTACTGGTGTTATAAAGAAGATATAGTCAGTTTTTTGTATATGTTTTTGTGTAAATTGTATAATGGTCTCAAAAAATAATTTTATGCCTACAATTGGGAAATTTTCAGGAAATGAAATAATCATTCTCATTTATAAATCATGTACTCCTTGAATATATGGGCAACTACAACAAAATATGTGCAACTTTTCAAAGATAGCTTATTGATTAACGGTGGCTCCACAAAATAATATGTATCTACAATCACGTTAGTTTCAGTGTTCTTTAGCAAGAGGGAAATAGTTCACTAAAGTTATTGTGCATAAATTTTTTTTAAAAGGTTGATAGATATTAAGGTGATCTGGACAACATCCCTAGCATATAATATTTATCTAGATGTCCATGTCTCTTGGGCTCCTCTCTCAATGCTGCTATCTATCTCTCACTCCTTCAGAGTTTGTGACGACAAGAATTCTCTGTACTTATTCTTAAGGATTTTTTGACTAAGAAGCAACCAAAAAGGAAAGAAAAAGCCCAGTGGTGAAAATTGCTGCACTCCCAGGAATCCAGAACTTGGAGGTTTTCTTTTACAACCCTGATTTCCCTTTTCTCCTTCATCCACTTAGATATTCTCCCCTTCCCTACTCTGCTTCCTTTGGCAGGGCAGGGACTTCCTCCCTCCTGCTCTGTGGATGGAGACTTGGCTAAGGTTAAGTCAAGTATTTCCTGAATTCAGCCAGTCCGGGTGGGGTAAAGGCTGAGAATTTTGAAAGGAAATGAGGTAGAGAGTGCCTGTGACTAGAGCTAAAGAGGATAATGTAGAGATTAAATCCTGGGAAAGAGAAAGGAGATCCTATTGAAATCAATTTGATCCCGATATCATCATACCTGCAGCCAGGGTACCTCTGGCATTTGAGTTATGGAACTCAAGCTTAAGTCAGGTTTCCTATCCCACCACAGCCTACAGAAAGGATCCTGACTCCGTACCATAGGCTTGGTTTATTAATTTTTTTTTAATGAACTCACAGGGAGAATTAAAACTATTCTATTCAATGGAAATACTCAAATAATAAACTTAATAACCTTTACCCTATGTATAAAATTATTTCTGCCACCCTTTATAGTTTCAGTTTTTCTGTTAGTAGTTTCCCACAGACTAAAGATCTTTTACCACAGAATTCTGGGTAGGGGACAAGCAGAATATCAGCATATTCTCAAGACACTACTCATTCAAGCTGGCACTTAATTTGGTTAGAAATGTGTTACTGACTTTACATGTTGGAAAACAAGAGTGATAGTGACTTACATTCCAACCACTTTGTGCGTGTGTGTGTGTGTGTGTGTGTGTGTGTGCATACACAGACATCACATGTGTGTTGCTGGGAACCTAACCAAGGACCTTGCACAGGTTAGGCAAGCACTACACCACTGAGCTACATCCCCAACCTCAGACTGTCTTGAATATGAGAATTAAAGCAAAAATAAAAACAAAACAAAAAATGTGGCATAAACACAAGCGATATTTCTCAGCCTGTTTTTAAAACTGTTGTGATTAAAGAAAATCAATGTAATACACTACTCATAGAAAAAAATGTAAAAATTGTCATTTTTTTTTCAAAATTTTGATTAAAAGTTATTTTTCTCTTTGGAAACAAAAATCGGATTTATATTCCCCTGTTTGTCAAAGCCACTTAAGTAAATCAGGTTAGAGTTTCTAATTACTAGTTGTAGAGAAACTATGTTTATCCTGACACCTAGTCTGACAGTTATACTATTTATTTGTTTTAATTTAAAGATAATTTAATACCCATAAAAGATAGGAGGTTTAAAATGGTATTAGAAATTGAAATCAATTTCCAATCATTCATTCATCCCTATGGTATAATTTCTTAGTCTCGTCTAGGAAACTGTTTTCATGCCAATTTGTCTTAAAGTTAAGAATGTATTTTCTACTTCACAATACTTCAGTCCATGGCTATTCCTTTGAGATTGCCCACAAGGGTGCTAACTGCATGCACTGATGTTTTGTTGTCGGTGGTGGTGATTTGTGTGTGTGTGTGTGTGTGTGTGTGTGTATGCATGCATGTTAAGGATCAAACCCAGGGCCTCATGCATGCTAGGAAAGCACTGTACCATTGAGCTACATCCCTGTCCCAGCATTGATGACTTTTCTTACACTAACATTAAAATTATTCTAAGTTCTCCATTCCATTTTGCACGATCCAACAACTGGAAGTTGCAATGACTTTTTGTCACTGCCAAAACTACCACGTTTGAACCAGAAGATGCTATAATCTATTAGTAATTTCACAACCACTGAAGGCCCTTTTAACACAAAAACGTAATTGTTTTACATTTATTTATAAAGAAGCATTTGACCTGTTCATGAATTTGTACCTTAAATTGAATCTTCCAGTATAAGAATATTTACCTACAGTGTTGGGCAATATAGAAAAGTCTCCCAATTGGGTTGTTACTATTATTGTAAATAGACATCAAATGTAATGGCTTACAATAATGACCTCCCCTTATAATGATTGTTGTGAAGTATTGTTTAAATTTTAAAAGCAAAATTGTAAAAGATAACAAGGCAAACATCTGAATGAGAGAAAAAAAATGTGCAAAGAGCATGAACAGACAATTCACAAAAGAAATAATACAAATGTTCAATAAAATCTGAGCAAGTAGTAAACATCCTAGTAATAAATGAAATGCTATGTAAACAACAGTGACAAACCATGTTTCATCTCTCACATTACTGAAGATTGAAAAGAGCAGTGATGCCTAGTATTAATGTTAACATAGTATGTTTAGAAATGTAAATGTCATGATAATTCTTCAGGAGAATTGGACAGTATTTATAAAACTCATTCTCTTAAAAGTATTTTTCATTTTTAGGAATTTCTTCAAAGGAAGCAGTTGAAAGTGGTGCAAAAATATTTGAGCAAAAATGTTCATGACTACAGTGTGCTACACATAGGAAGCTAATGTGTTTGTTTTCCTTATCTTTGTATCTTTAATATCACCAATTATCATGTTTAGAATATTAAAGGGATTCAGTATGCATTTAATCAGTTATTTACATTGTCAAAAATTCCTCTTGCTGGTATTGTGACTCAGTGGTAAAGCGCTCACCTAGCAGGTGCGAGGCCCTGGGCTTGAACGTAAGCACCGCATAAAAATAAATAAATAAAGGTATAAAAAAATTGCCTCTTACCCAAATAACATCAAGACATTGAGCAAAGTAAACTATAGTATAATTTTACAATAGAATACTATGTGCTTTAGGAAATAATAATGTCATCCATCCATATGTTTTGACGTAGAACGATGTTTACAATAAGAATCATGTTACAAAGTATGGTGTCATTCTATTTTTGAAAATATAAATTGTAAAATATTTCCAGAATATAGTTCATATTTCTATTCAATGTAGTAATGATATATATGAGGTTCAAATCTTTTTATTTTTCTGTATTTTCAAAACTTCATACAAAAGCTATATATTAATAGGGTAATTAGAACAAAATAAATGAATTTTCATAGTCATAAAATAAGGAAAATTTTTCTAAGGATAACAACAAAAGCAGAAACCACAAGTGAAAAGATTATAGTTTTTAAAAGTTAAATTTTTCTCTTTAATACCATTATCTATAACTTGAGTTTTGAGTCTATGTTGAGAAAGAAGCTCTTTGTCATTTAGATATATGTATTTAAGTATTTACAGATTAAATGCTACAATGCATGGGATTTTCTTCAACTTAATCAGAAGTTGGGAAGAAAAAAAAGAAAGATCGAGTGGAGAGAAATAAAACAAGATTAGACAAGAGTTGATAATTGTTGAAGCTGGATGATGAATAAATGGAATTAATACATTTTATCTCTACTTTTGTATATATTTTAAAGTTAACATAGTATAAATTTTTAATACCATACACAAAGATGACAGAGAAACTGTGATGAGGAGGAAATATTTGCAAAATGAATAACAGGAAATTAAATAGACCTTTAGCATATAAAATACTCATAAATCAGTTTTCAAAACTAAATTGGCAAAGTATATGAACAGACAATTCACCAAAGGAAAAGGAGAAATTAAAATAATTGTATGCATATGTAGCAATACATATATTTAAAAATCAAAAATATTTCATTTAAAATGGGATAAAATTTATCAGTTAACTACGTTGTTTTGAAACAACAAAAATGTATTGCCAACTTGAATGAAGTGTCAGTCTGAAATATTGATGAGAGTGTGAATTGCCAGACTTACTTATGATATATATTAAAATCTTAAAATTTCACTTATCCTTAGGCCAAACAAGTTTTCTTCTAGGAATTTAAGAAAATAAATATACACAAAATTTCCAGAGAAATATATACAAGTGATATTTATGAGAGTTAAGTAATCTAAATATCAAAAAATGGGGCATTAAGTCACTACAGTGGAATTATTAATGGAATTTCTTCATCCTTTTCGTTCATTTAATCACTCATTTTTTTTTCAAAAATATTTACTGAATTCCTACTGAGTGTCAGTCATTAGTTAACCACTAGGAATAAAATAATGAATAAAGACACTTTTCCTACTTCAGGGAGCTTATTTTCTAGTAAGAGAAACAGAAAATTTTTTAAAAGACAAGGTCATATGGTAGGGAAAAGCTGGGGCTGAGGAGTGGAAGCTACCTGGTGCAGTAAGTTAAGAAAACATGACTGAAGCGTTCAAGCGTGAGAACTGGGCTGGGTGTGGTAGCACACACAGCCTATCATCCCAGTGAATCATGGCTGAGGTGGATTGCAAGTTCAAAGCCAGCCTCAGAAAACTAGCAAGACTCTAAGCAACTAATCGAGACCCTGTCCCAAAATAAAAATAAAAAAGGACTGAGAATGTGATTCAGTAGTTAAGTGCCCTTGGTTTCAATCCCCGGTACCAAAAATTCAAAAATGCATTTATGAAATGATAGTTTCTAAATTTGGCTACTCTGGAGTTGATAGTGTCACCATCAACTGGGTATTTAAGCCACAGCTCATTTTGCACATCTTTCCTTAATATTGAGCACATTGAATATTTGGGGTTAGAAAGAAATGGTTAAAGATGTATTAAGTAAAATGGGATAAAATTTATCAATTATCTGTATTGTTTTGAAATGACAAAAATGTATTGCCAACTTGAATGAAGTGTCAGTCTGAAATATTGTTGTATGTTATACAAAATTGTAGAAGATATACTTTTATATGACTTTTATATCATCAGTCTGAAATATAATAATATTATTATTATAAATATCATTGGATATATTTCTCTAGAAATTTTGTTACAAAATATTATTTTGTAATTAATATTAATTTCACATTTATTATTTAATATAAAATTTGACAAATATGCAAACATATAATAAAATTTAAGGCATGTTTACTGTGCCTCTTGATTTTGTCTACTCAAGTAATTCACCTATACCATCTAAGCTTGTGTTTTCATGCTATGGTGTTTACACAGTGATGAAATCATCTAACAACACATTTCTCAGACTGTGTTGTTAAGTGATGCATGATTTGTATCTTAAAACTCAAATTAGAGAAAATATTTTCCATCTTACTGGTTTCAAAATGGTAGAGCTGACCAATCATTATATAATAAGAGTTAACAACATTGTTTCCCCCCCCCAAAAAAAATAGTAGAACATTCAAATTAAAATGTTTAAAAAAAAAACAGAAAAGATCTACTTTTGTTTTTCTCATTGCAATTCTCTAGTAAGACTGGTCCTTCTGAGGGCTGCTGGAGAAGACAATGACTAAAGTTAAGGGACTTGTAGAATGTCGCAAGTAATAGATAGTGATTGACTGGAGAAGCCATGATGTGTAATTTATCCAAGTGGCAAGCAGCTTGAGCAAACTCTAATGTAATTTTGGGCTTAATTATTTGGAAAAAAAATGGTAAATGACACATGAATAAAATCCATAAGTGATACAAACCTGGGAGCTGTAAATGCCAATGAGAAGACGAAATAGTGCAGAGGTATAAGGAAGTAGCATACATCAGGAGGTAATCGGCCAGAGAAGCTCCACTTGGGAAACATGCCACAGATAAAAAGGACTAATGTTGTCTACTGGGTCCATCAAACTGTATCTAAAGGATTGCAAACTGCATCTAAAGGATTGCAAACTGCACACTTACTTTTGTCCACTCATTGAAACATACAGTATATACTTTCATGCTCAAAATTTTTAATCTTCTGATACACCTAGAGATGAATAAATTTCAATAGTGCAACAGATATATTTATTCAAGAAGGACCTGGGAGTTGATAAAATAGTTAATGGGGAATCAAATACAAGGGAGTTGGATGGCAATACAGTGAGTACCACTAGGTTTTACATTTTAAAAATTCAAACATGGTGATTATGAGAAGTGGATCTCTCTGTTCTAAAATCCAAGATCCCCATCACCCACCTCACATAGCTGCAGTTCTCCCAAAGCTTTCATTTTCCATTGTGTATATATGCCACATTTTTTTATCCATTCATCTACTGAAGGGTATCTAGGTTGGTTCTACAGTTTAGCTATTGTTAACATTGACTGATTCTATCTTCTCATCAAACTACGTGAAACTTTTCCTGGTGCTAGAATCTCCAGGACAAGCATTCTCCTCATTTTGGGATTTGGGGGGCCAAACCTGTCTTCTGTGTGACACTTTGGTGAAGAACACTCCAGTTTGCCACTGTTGTGCTGAGAACTCTCACTACCTAACTGAACATTATTTCCTTTGCTATGTTGAAGCAGTCAGGAAGCCACAATTTTGTCCCATGAGGATTGATAGTGGCTGGAAAAGAAAAGGAAAAAAAAATCTGTGTGATAAATACCATCTTGAAAACTGACTACTTGCACCCAGCTATGTACTCTCATCCCAACCTATTTGGCCCTAGCCTCATCTACAAACACAGTTCATCACCTTTAAACCAGGCCCATTTTTTTCTTTTTTCTTTTTATTATTAGTTGTTCAAAACATTACATAGCTCTTGACATGTCATATTTCATACATTTGATTCAAGTAGCTACTGAAATTGATTTATATCACATGATTTGGAGGTATATCATGTGTTCTGCTGGTAAATGTTTAACAATCTGTTCTGAGATGGGAGGAGCAAGGATAGTAGAGAGGCTTGCCTTGTAGCATTCGTCTTTCCATAGTGCAATACTACCATTATGGCAGGTTTGAAGCTTCCAATGTGATGTCACTGATTGTAATATTGGAGAGAGGTGATAATAATTGCTCCCTGCAGGCTACTCCAAGAAGACTTCTCTAGAATACTCAGCTTACTAGACACAAACTTTTTTTGGGGGGGCGGGGAGGTGCCAGGATTAAACTTGGGAGCACTCAACCACGGAGCCCAATCTCCAGCCCTATTTTGTATTTTACTTAGAGACAGGGTCTCATTGAGTTGCTAAGCAACTCGCCATTGCTGAGACTGGCTTTGAACTTGGATCTTACTGTGTCAGCCTCCTGAGCTGGGATTACAGGTGTCCTGTGTTAATTTTTACCTTCTTTTAAATTAATTCATTATTTTAACTCTTCTGTCCCATAAGCTTAACAAGTGTGTATCTTACAACATGAAATCTTAGTTTATAAACTTCTACTTCCACTGCACCCAGTTACTAGACACAGACTTTATAAATGCATTTAACTGTCCAGGCACTATGGGATACACTTGTAATCCCAGCAGCTGGGGATGCTGAAGAGGATCACAAGTTCAAAGCCAACCTCAGCAACTTAACCAAGCCCTAAGCCCTAAGCAACCTCATTAGGCCCTGTCTCAAAATAAAAAATAAAGGGCTGGGGGTGTGGCTCAGTGATTGAGTGTCTCTTGGTTTAACACTGGATACAAAGAAAAAAAAAAGAAAAAAAATCATTTAAGTTCAGATAACAGATTTTAGAGGTATCAGAAGACACAAATTTCTTTATGAAGTCACCCAAAAGTTTGAGACCCACTTCAGGCCTTTGCTTCCTGAGCACAAATCAGACACATTCCTCCTCTGTACATTTTGAATATGAAACATTGGAAATCATGTTGAAGACCCAATACAGGTTAATGCTTTTAGTCACTGTTTATATCAAATCCATCACCTCACAACATGATTACATTAAGCAGCACCCCTACTCATCCTCACATTAGCTGGATTACAATGGTCCCATTGCTAAGATTATTTCAAATTAAAGCTGACAAAGTGTTTGAAAAATATATACTCAAGAATAATCCTAAATTGAAAGAAGTGGATAAACTAAGGGAGGGAAATTGCTTGATTAGCAAGTAAGAGTTTTTAGGTTGTATTTTCTGAGGTTCGATGTTAATAGAATAATCATGCACAATTTTTTTTCTGTTGATACACAATGAACTAATTCAAAATCATTTAAATAACTGATGTGCATAATTTATCATTTATAGCCCAAATTTTTCCTTTTCCATGAAGATGTTCCACACCATCCTGTTGCCAAAAAAAAAATGCCTTGTTTCACCAATCCAGTGAAAACCATTGGAGGATACATGAGGCCAGAGGTCCTTTGTATCTATCTTCCCCAAAGTCCAACATTTGATAGTTTGTTGATTGATTGGTTAATTAATTGACTAACTAAATTTTTAAAAATATTTTCTTAGTTGTCAATGGACTTTATTTTATTTATTTATATGCAGTGCTGAGAACCCAGTGTCTCACACATGCTAGGCAAATTCTCTACCACTGAGCCACAATCTCACTCCTTTCTAGCTAAATTTGAAGGATTTGGGTTGAATCCAGAAATTCTATTAATCCACAGATAGAGTTGCTATATTTTTTTCTAAGCTTAAAACTAGAACATAAATAATAGAAAACAACTTTTTTTTCTGACTTGCAGATTTGTTTACATGGAAAGCTGTAACAAAATATAAAGAACAATCACATTTAGTCATTAATTAACATATTGTCATTTCTGAAATGACCAAAAGTTATACTATTAACATGGAAAATACTTTGATACACTAGTCATCTGTTGCTATATATCAAATCAAATCAAAACTTAATGGTGTAAAACAGCAATACTCATATTATCTCCCAGATTTCAATTGTATGGTGCTGGTGTGGGATCTCTCATGAAGCTGCAGTTAGATCATGGCCAGAGCTCAGACTGCCAATGGCAGCTATCTGGGCATCTCTTTAACTGCACATGGTTTCAGGGCCTTTTTATGTGGTCTTAACAGCACAGTAGACATGGGGTCCACTGGGACTCTCCACAAGGTGGACTCAAAGACAAATGAACCTGGAAAAAGTTGTCTACAATTTCCGTGCCTAAGCTCACAGCTCATGTAAATCCACATTTGCCATATTCTCTTAGTAAAAGCAGTTCCAACAGAAAGGAAAATAGACACCACCTTGATTTTAATCTTTTTTAAAAAAAAATTTTTAAGAATGACTGAAATAAGAAACAAATGAACTACATGATTTGTTTTGATACATCTATAAATCTGTGAAACCATCATAATAACCCAAATAATTAAAAGTTCCAAATTTTTTCTCATGTTCCTTTGTTTCTTCCCTCTTTGCTTTCCTTTCCAATTCTAGACAATTACTGATCTACTTTCTGTCACTGTTGATTGGTTTGCATTTTTTTTTAGATTTTTTATATAATTGAATACTACAAATGTTTTCTTTGACTGGTTTCTTTCTTGCAATAAAATTATTTTGAGATTCATCCATATTGTGTATATCCACAGTTCTTTCATACATTCTGTGTTATTGTAGAGTAGATTTCCTTTGAATGGATATTTCAACATTTGTTTATCCATTAAAGTCTTGTGGACACTTGGGTGGTATTCAGTTTGTGACTAACACAAAACTGCTACAAACACCCATGCACAAACTTTTGAATGGCTTTCATTTCTCTTGGGTTTCATTTTACCTGTGAACGAATTGATTGGATCATGAGGCAAGTATGTGTGTAACTGTTAAGAAAATGCCAAACAGTTCTCCAAAGTACACCATTTTATGTTACCACCAATACCATTTATGCTACAGCCAGATTTTAATAAAAGGTGAGTAGTGGCATTTCATTGTAATACCCTCCACTCTCTGCCAATGTCTAATGCCAATGTCTTGGCTGGGGACAAGCTCACGAGCCACTCACAGCTTTGTAGATTCAAACAGCAATTCTTTATTCCCGAACTCACATTGGCCTCTACACACGTTCTGGGGAAATCCCGTTCTGCCGCACAATTCTGGTCCCAAATACTTTCTCAATTCCACTAGAACTCAACGGGAACTCAGGCAGCAGGAAAGCCCTATTCCCAGCAGCAATAAACTTAAACCTGGAACTTCCGTAAAACCACATTGTCTTAAACCAGAAACTTGTCTTAAACCGGGAACGCCCTAAACCCAAGGAGCAGGATACTTCCTCAAACCTGCAGGATACACCTTAAACCTGGATCCACCCTTGTCCTTGAGCAGGGTCACCTTTCTCAAACACACATGCAAGGTCACAGCGGATTTCCAAGGCAAGTCCTTTTAACATGGGGTACGCTGGCAAGGAAATTTCGATGCGTCATTCCTACTTGGCAATGGCCCTCAGCAACTCTGGTTTGATATATCACAATAACATAAGCCTTGTGAGCCTGGGAGTCTATCTTTTGAACTGTTGGATCCCTATGATCAGCGTAGTGTATGGTTCCTATGATAAATATGAGCAAACCAAGATTCAGGCAGCTAACTGAATTACTCAGTGCCAATGTCAACAAGTGGAATTGAAATACAGGTAGCTAACTGCAATGCCTGCTCTACTGTCACTAGTTTGCTCTGTTCTCAGGAATATGCTCTGAAGACATGAAAACAAAAATTAACTGTCTTTTCAACAAATATTGCTAGTGAAACTGAATGTCCACATGCAAAAGAGTGCTGTATATAGCACTTTTACAAAAATATTGTATTCTAATGCCATATATAAAAAACTACAAAACAGGTGGAATAAAAAACTGAAGAAAATTTGAAATGGATTTCACAATGATTTCTTGTTGTTCTTGAACATCAAAGTCATACATAATAAAAAGAATACAAATTGTACTTCATCAAAATGAAAAAAATTATGTATCAAATAAAGCTATCAATAGGGGAAAAAGGTAACCTACAGAATGGGAAAAATATTCATAAATCACATATCTGATAAGGGATTAGTATCTAGAGTATATAGAGAATTTCTAAGACTCATTGTCAATAAAAACAACAAAAACCAATTTTAAAATGTGCATAACACTTGAATATATATTTCTTCAAATAAGAAAATACAAGACCAATAAGTATATGAAAATATTGCCAGGGGCTGGGCATATAGCTCAGTAGTAGAGCACTTGGTTAACATGCACAAGGTCCTAAGTTCGATCACCAGCACCAAAAAAGAAAACATACATACAAAAAAATTCAATCTCAATAATTATTAGAATTGTAAATCAAAACCACAATAAAATATCATTTTATATCCATGAAGATACCTATTGTTAAATAAATAAATAAAAACATGCAATAACAAATGTTGACAAGGATGTGGAGAAAATGGGACTCTTGTGTACTGCTGGGAGGAATGTAAAATATTGCATCTGCTACATAATACAGTAGGGTGGGCCTCCAGAAAATTAATAATAAGATTAGCATATTGCACAGCAATTAGATTTCTGAGTATGTATTCAAAATAATTAAAAGAAGGAACTCAAAAAGATTTTTGTAGGTCCTTGTTTATAACAGCATTATTGACAATAGCTGGGGAAGTGACCCAAGTGTTCATTAATGGATAAATGGATAAACAAA